GTCCCCAGCAGGGTGCCAGGGCCACTGTCCCCACTCGAGCAGCAGCAGAGCTCCAGCTGTGCCCTCTTGCAGATGTTTTTGGGTGGGAAGGTGAAGGGAGGACGCTGCGGCAGCAGGGAGGAATCCCAGACCAAGGGGAGCAGCGGCCCTCGCTCAGCACAGCAGAATTTGTGTGGCACACAGGGCAGGCTGCAGCCTGAGCAAGCAGCAAAACCCCTGGCAGCGAAGCTTGGCACCTAAAGCCAACGCTGACCTGAACCCCAAACCCCAAACTTAGGGATAAAAAGATGGAGCTGCAAATCAGGAGCTATTAAAAACAGAAAAAAAAAAAAGAATCAGAGTTCTTGATTTCTACTTCGAGATAAACCCCCTCCTACCCTCTCTTTTATTAGAGAAAATTAGAATTAAATTGCTCTGAGCAATTTTTCACTTGGTGCCAAAGCAGAGGAGGACTGAGACCTCCAGAAAATATGTGGGCTTTGCCTTCATATTTAATAATTTAACCGAGGCAACTTTCCTTCTTGAACCCGAACTCAAAAGCTTGCCAAGGAAATGCTGATCCCGGGTGGGGAACGGGTGACAATTCCCGGGCAGAGTCTCGGTGACAGGTCCCAGGGACTGGCAGCCCCAAGCCCCGGAGCCCCGCGGCTTCTCCCCAGGAGAATTGAGGTTACAGATTTAATTAGGCCGGCGTGGCTTGTACAGGATGTCTGATTTCAAAGTAAAATCGCAGCGTTATCCATAATGTTATGCAAAGCACCATAGCAACAGCGAGGAGCCTTCGAAGAAATGCTAATGAGGGGAGAAATGCTAATGAGGGGAGAAATGCTAATGAGGGGAGAAATGCTAATGAGGGGAGCTGTTCTGCACAGCCCGGCCTGGCCAAGCGAAAACAAACACCCCACTTAAAATTCCTAGCAAGAACTCACACATTCCTGCACCAGAAAAAACCCACTGCCAAAAATTCCTGATGGAAGCATCTTGGAGAAATTCCTGATGGAAGCATCCCGGAGAAATTCCTGATCGAAGCATCCCAGAGAAATTCCTGTTCAAAGCATCCCAGAGAAATTCGTGATGGAAGCATCCCAAGGAAATTCCTGATCAAGGAATCCCGGAGAAATTCCTGATTGAAGCATCCCAGAGAAATTCCTGATCAAGGAATCCCAGAGAAATTCCTGATTGAAGCATCCCAGAGAAATTCCTGATTGAAGCATCCTGGAGAAATTCCTGATGGAAGCATCCCGGAGAAATTCGTGATGGAAGCATCCCAAAGAAATTCCTTATCAAGGAATCCCGGAGAAATTCCTGATTGAAGCATCCCAGAGAAATTCCTGTTCAAAGCATCCCAGAGAAATTCGTGATGGAAGCATCCCGGAGAAATTCCTGATCGAGGCATCCCAGAGAAATTCCTGGTCAAAGCATCCCAGAAAAATTCCTGATCACAGAATCCCAGAGAAATTACTTATCAAGGCATCCTGGAGAAATTCCTGATTGAAGCATCCCGGAGAAATTCCTGATGGAAGCATCATGGAGAAATTCCTGATTGAAGCATCCCAGAGAAATTCCTGATCAAAGCATCCCAGAGAAATTCCTGATCGAGGCATCCCGGAGAAATTCCTGATGGAAGCATCATGGAGAAATTCCTGATCACAGCATCCTGGAGAAATTCCTGATCGATGCATCCCAGGGAAGGTCACAGCCTGCCCTGGGGACCCTCCCCAGCTCCCCCGGGCTGGCTGAGGAGCCCTGGAGGGGCCGGGGTGTCCCCCAGGTCCCAGGGAATGTGGAACTGCTCCCAGCACTCACCCCCAGGCTCCAGAGGCACAGGAAAACCTGAGGAAGTTGGGAATCAGCCCCAAGCCCAGACTGAGGGATGGGCGAAGGACACAAAGCGGGGCCGTGAAGAGGAAAGGGTTAGAGCCCGGAATCTGCTGAGCTGGGGGGCTCCGTGGGGATCGGGCGCTGCAAAGGGAGCCCTGCTCAGGACACCCCCGGGTGCCCCTCGTCCTGAGAGCGTTTCCAGGCTCTGGAGCCCCCAGCTTTGGGCAGAACCATTCCACAGGCAGGATTCCACAGCTCACAGACCCCAGTCCTTCGCTTCGCATCCCGGGGTGCGACAGGGAGAGAACGGTGCAGCAAACAAACTTGGATAAACCAAAGTGATTGGAACCGAATCAGCCTAATGAGCTGCGAAGCTCATTAAAAGGCTGAATTAGGCAGCCCTGAGCGGGCAGCACAGGCGGGAGCAGCGTGCCCCGGCAGCAGTGCCCGTGCCAGCCTCCAGGAGCACAAATAATCACAGGATATCCTCATCTGCAGCGCTTTTATTGAGAGCTCTGGGATCAGGCTACAGACCCAAATCTGACCCCAGCACGGCTCTCGAGCTGAACGTATTTTATATTCTCTCTTATATAACTTACATATTCATTATTGAACTTATATTGTTCTATTGTATACATTGACTTTATTCAAGCATGAGTTTCTCGTGATCTTTCTCAGGCCCCTGACCACAGTTTCTCATGATTATTCTTATGATTAAACAGTAATTATATTTAATTACTAAACAATCATCACATCTAACAATTATATCATTTATCATGCACTAGATACACAGGTGCAGTTCTAGCAAGGTGCAAGGCCTACATGTACCCAAGGTATTTTTTTTTTCAGGGCCTACTAAGATTAATTTTCCTTTTAACCCTAAATCCCCATGATTTTAAAACCCTTTTACTCTAATCTGCCCTCGGGGGGCACAGGGTTCTGCCAACCCTGCTCACCTGGACACCACTCCCGGGCTGCTGCTGGGGAGTGACACAAAACCAGGGCCGAGCACCCCGAAATCACCCAGGGAAATGGAAGAAGCAGCCTGAAAACTGGACAAAACCACCCAGGAGCGAATTCAAAAATGTCTTTTCCCTCCCCAAAGCCGCCAGATCTTGATTCAGTCACGTCTGAAAGCTCCAGCTGTAGCAGAGCTGTCCAAGGTACAATTACAGGCAAACTGACCCTTAGCATGGATTATCCTCAGGAAAGGGAATTCCGCAATGCCACTCCACTTTAAATCCACATTTTCTATTTATTTAGACAGCTGACACTTTGAAATAAAAGCAAATAAATTCCAGTTTCCTAAGGCACACATCCCATTCCTCATCCTCTCGCCGTGGCCTCAGCTCTACTGGAAATTCCAGGATTTAGCAGCTGCCTTTAGTATTTTCCAGGCACGGCAGTAATGGAGCAGGAGAGAAGGAGCAAAGTGACAGTAGCACCTGGAGAGCTTCAGACCAGCTTCCAGATGACACATTAAATCCAGACACTGGTTCATTCAAAGCAGGGTTCAATATTATAATCTATCAATCTGTATTTGCTTTGCAAAATGTAATGGAAAATGCTAATAGGATTTACTTGTGAAATGAAATTGGATTACATCTTATCTATTTTAACTTGATTTGGTGGAGCATTCCTTCAGCACCAGCCAGCAGCTTCAGTGGCTCCTCTCCCTCTGTGTCCCCACATCCTTTTGGAGCTCAGGCAGCTTCTCGGGCCACCCTTTTCCACAGGGAAACGAGGGAGGACAGACATAAATTAAGTAGAGCCAGGGAATGGCACCAGGAATGGAGTCAGGGAATGGCACCAGGAATACAATCATGGAATGGCACTGGGAGTGGAGTCAGGGAATGGCACCGGGAATGGAGTCAGGGAATGGCACCAGGAATGGTGCCAGGAAATGGCACAGGAGAGGAGCCAGGGAATGGCACCAGGAATACAATCATGGAATGGCACCAGGAGAGGAGTACAGGGAATGGCACCAGGAACATCATCATGGAATAGCACAGGAATACAGCCAGGGAATGGCACAGGAGAGGAGTCAGGGAATGGCACCAGGACAAGAATGGAAAGGCACTGGGAGTGGAGCCAGGGAATTGCACCAGGAATGGAGTCAGAGAATGGCACCAGGAGTGGAGTACAGGGAATGGCACCAGGAATACAATCATGGAATGGCACCAGGAGCACAGCCAGGGAATGGCACGAGGAAAACACCCAGGAGAACAGCAGCAAAGGAAAAGAACTCACAGAAACATTCAGGTTGGAAAAGCCCCCCAGGACACCAAGTCCAGCCTTCCCCCAGCACTGCCAAAGCCACCACCGAGCCAGGTCCACAGGCACCAAGCGAAAGGATGGAATTTCTGGGGAGGAAGCCTTGCTCTTGTCAGTTTGGAATGGAAATGGAGTGCCACTGCACTGTCCCCGTGCCCTGGTGCCCCTGAAGAGAGCAGCCTGGGCAGGGAATGCCCAGCGGCCCCAAGGGGCCCTGCTGCCCACATCACTGGGACAGGGCCTCTGGGGGAGACACAACACTGCCATCCCATATTTGTGACCACTAAAGCTGCCACAGCAACTCCAAAACCAGGAACAAATCACACGCTGGGTAACTGAGCTTACATAAAGAAAACTTAGCATGAACAAGAGAAATTATTCACATTGTCCTGCCTGTGTTTTCTCACATGTTGGAGGGAAAAAGAACATTTCGCATCACACTGAGTGCTAAATCAGGCTCAGACCCAAGCTGAGAGCACCTCCTGGGTGTGGAAATCCCAGCAGGTCAGAGCTGCTGGTGCCACCAGCACCCAGCAGGTCCCACAGCAGCAGCGGGGCTGCAGGAGCACCCAGCTGCTCCTCTGGGAGCAGCTCACACTCCCATGGGGTCAGGCCCTGTCCAAGGACCCAGGCAGACATTCTCATCTCCTCACATAATTTCCAGCACCACCATGATCAGAGAAACCAGGGAGGGCTCAGCCCAGCAGCCACCAGAACCTGCTCAGACCATCACCCAAAAACGAGAGCCCGCACCCCGAACTCGCTGTGGCCGCCTTGGTGCCACCCAAGTGCCACCCTGAGCACAGCACCCCCAGCCACTGAGACAAAGCCAGCAGCTGCTCTTTGCTGCTCCAGACTCCTTCTGCAAACCAGGACAGGAGGGAAGAGCAAATGAGAGCACTCACAGTTTACTGTGACTTTGACTTTTTTCACGTCTGGGACCGAGACGTCGTTCTCTGCGCTGCACTCGTACTCCCCAGCCTGGTCTCTGGTGATCCCGTAGATGTCCAGGTACTGCCCGCTCTCAAAGGGCTTGGCTGAAATGAAACCATCAGAACAGAAATTACTGCTGAGCACACAGCTCCTGAAATCCACACCTGCAGCAGCCAGAGTTCAACAGCTCAGCCTCGGCAGCTCCCGGAGCAACCCCAGCTCCACAGGGAGCTGAAACCCCAAAAACTCCCAGAGCAACCCCAGCTCCACAGGGAGCTGAAACCCCAAAAACTCCCAGAGCA